AGAGATTGAGACCATAAACTCATGTTCACAATGTTTACTGAGGTAATTAATCAACAGAGAAGTAGAGTCATTTTCTCATAGACTTCTATACAACTAGAGGAGTCGCCCCCTGGTGGACACTAGAGAGAATGCAGGTTTAACACACTTCAACACTAGCATTGGCTTCACTCGGCAGAACCGGAGGTTGCCGTCTGGATGGAAATAGATGATCCGCTGTGAATCCAATGAGGCCAAATGAAACGTGGAGAAACACGACTGAGTGTGGCAGCAGTGTGATCTTCTGTTAGAAAACACATCCTGCTGCTGTTTCCCCTTTTCTCTTCATTTGAAGAGGACATTCCAGAGAATTTTAACGGAGCGTAGTGTCTCGGGGTTCACTAAATGTGAAACAGCTTTATTGTTTTTGGACGGACACATCCTCTCTCACATCGTATCCCTTCACTCCTTCCTATCCTGCTCTGTGGGAGAGACACTGAAACAGGTCGATATGTGACGTGCAGATACGCTGCTGTGTGAGCTGTAGTGTTGACCCAGTAATGTGGCTTCACACACACACACACACACACACACACACACACACACACGTGTTGTGCATTAAGTCGTCGTAATCAATTATCTGCAATATTTACACAAAAACGTGTCTTCACAGATCTTTATTTTACTAATTTGTTTGCAAAAAAATCAGTAAACTTCAAGAAATATGAACAAATGACCACAACAGGAAGTGCCGCTCACTTTGCAGGCAAGGACGCATTAGAGTAGAAATCATAAGAGCAGTAAAGCTGTTTTTCACTTTATTAAATGTGCTCCCCTCCCCCGTCTCTCTCTCCTCCAGATCCAGCCGTACGATAAGATCGCTGGCAGAGGTCTGCCGGACAATGTGGCCGACTGCCTGAACAAACTGGCGGTGGTGAAGCTGAACGGGGGCCTGGGCACCAGCATGGGGTGCAAGGGCCCCAAGAGCCTCATCAGCGTCCGCAACGAGAACACCTTCCTGGACCTCACGGTGCAGCAGATCGAGGTACGGAACACCTCACCATGCTTGATTTAAAGAATTTAAATAGGCCGTTCAGAGAGATCCAGAGCTGCATTATCAATAGTTCTTTATTGTGGTCCTTGCGTCATGTTAGCGTGACATTAGGGATAATATTGACGTATTATTTAATGTGTAAATAATAGGGTAACAGATTATGAGTCATGGATTCAGATCAGCAGAACAGAAAGGAGCAAATATAACTTTTAGAAACGACCCGACCACTTTTCTTTTTCCACGTGTTAGTGACGTAGAACGTGACACAGCAGGAAACAGAAATGTGTTTTCTTGCATTTAAAAATATAAGTACATGCGTATATTGGTGGTTGAAGACTTATTAAGAGTTCTAACCTACTTTTATGCATTTAGGAGAAATAATTGAATCCACAGAAATGTTGACCTAAATAGCAGAGAGCAGAGTTTCACAGGAAGTGAGGAGGGCAGCAGGTCACCCCAAAACTGTAAACTACTGATAAAAGACTGAGGTTTGAACTTCTTTGTTTGTTTTAAATGGACCATAAGTTACTAAATGAACATCATGCTGTACTGAAGAAGACTTGAAACTAGAGATTGAGACCATTAACTCATGTTTACAATATTTACTGAGGTAATAAATCAAGAGAGCAGTAGAGTCATTTTCTCATAGACTTCTATACAACCAGAGGAGTCGCCCCCTGGTGGACATTAGAGAGAATGCAGCTTTAAGACATGAAGCAGAGGTCGCCGCCTGGTTTTAATAACCAAAGACAGACAGGAGAACACCTCACTGGAGAAAACTCTCATTTAGTTTCGACGTAAGAACCAAACAAACTGTTTCTGGATCTTCACTGTAGAAGAATTGATGGATACGTTCAGGCAGAAGCACTTAAACTCTCACTTTCCTGTTGCGCGGTGTTCCTTTAGTTGGTTGTTTTTATATTTTACTGTCCTGTAACCTCAGACCATGAATCCATCCGGGGATAAAAGATTATTTTCTCTCACAACCAGAGCTGACGGACTTCTTTTTACAAATCAAATCACCGTCTTACTGTGGCACAGATTTGTCAGTCAGGTTTATTTCAGCCGGTTATCACACAGGCGTATATATGACATCAGGATGGGTGAGGCAGGGCAGCAGGAAGTGATGTGTTGCCCGATGCAATACTGGTCTGTGGACATGTTGATGTGGAGATGTTGTGCGTCTCTAAGAGGAATCTAATACATCAGCCCGAGCTAGAAAAGTAAAGAAAGGAAAACTAACACCCCCTCTCCTTTTCATACATATACAATTACAAACATATGTGAAGCTGCAGTGAATCATCCTCTCAGCTCAAGCTGCTATTATTTATGTATCCGAGGTTCCAGAGAGACTTGTAGTGTTTGGAAAAAGAGCTGTAGGTTCTTCTGAAAGGAGTTCAGTGTGATACCTGGAGGGGGGTGAAAGAGGATCTGTTGGCGAGCAGTGTGTGTGTAGAGAGAGTGTGTTTACGGGAGGGGGGTTGTGGTTATTTGTGCCTGATCGTACATCACAACATTTTTAAAGAATGCTCTGTGTCCATCAGCAATACCAGTAAACTCTTGATTTGTTTAAGTTTGTTAAATAAAGAAATAAATCACATGTTGAAGCAGCTTAAAGAGATTAAAGAAATGTGTCATGAATCTGTCAGACAGCTCGGTTGTGTAATTGAGTTTAAACCGTGTGTGTGTGTGTGTGTGTGTGTGTGTGTGTGTGTGT